CCTGCTCCAGATTATTTCTCAGCATACCTTGGAGAATACAGGAACGTGCTTTCTGCCCTGGAATCCCTCAACTCTGCGGTCCTGGCAGCCATGGACAAAACCAAGCTGGTAAGGATGGAACCACAGGAGGGTGGTGAGGCAGGCGGGTTGGTAACAGAAGCTGTGGTGACCTTGGCTGCTTGCTTAGGTTCAACATGGGTACCAGAGGCAGCAAATGTACCTCTGAGAACCCTGTGTGTGCTCTGGGTGTCTGCAGCTGTGGACTGCTCTCTACTGGAGGAGAAGGGCTGAGCTGGTGCTTTTGTGCTCTGCCGCTGGATCCTTCCTCACAGGGCTCTGGCAGGGGTGGTTTCAACAGCTCCTTGCAGACCACTTGCGGCATCCTGCCTGGGATGCTGTTCTGGGAGCATCGCTGGCAGTCTGTGTTGGGTCTCTGAGCCAAAGCGAGGTCTTGACCCCCAAGCACTGTGTGTGAAATGAGGACAGTGGGGTTCAGCTGCTCTAGGCTGACCCCAGTACCCTGTGCTTAGCACAGCCTGTGCTGACAGCCACAGGAAGGCGCTGCTGGCCTGGGGGCAGGAGGGCAGCTCTAGGAACAGAGAGGTGCTTGGAGCAGGTAGGGAATGGTGGAATTCACTGACTCCCAGCATGGTGCCGAGTTCATCCCTGCAGTGAATGCTCTGCCTCTCCGTGCAGCTTGGGCTGATGGGAAGCAGACTGGAGGCTGCTAATGAGGGCAAGCAGCCTCCTGCTCTGTGAGCCCTGCATGGAGAGCAGCAGTGTGCAGCTGTGGGCTAAATACAGCTGTGAACAAGGCATGTGCCTGGGGCTGATGCTGTGTTACAGCCGTGGGAAGGGCCAGCCCTTGCTTTCCCTTCAGTGGGGTGGTTTGGTGCCTGTGGGAAGTGGATGAAGGGCCTCAACCGTGTGCACACTGCCCTACTGATGGAACAGAGACGTGAGGGGGGGGTCTGGTCCGTCTCGCAGCTCTGCAGGGTCATCCAAGTGGTGTTTGTGCCTCTCTAGTGTCAGTCACGATTGTGCCCTCTCTCTGAGTGTTCCCTTGGCTCAATCCAGCCTCAGCAGCATCTCCCTGTTCATTGGGAAATGTTATGCAGGAGAGGGGATCACTTGAAAATGCATTTTTCTCTTTGCTTCAGCTGCCCAGCTCCCTTCACAGTTATTAAATGCAAGCCCAGAGGGAGGGAATTAATCCTCTTCAGAGCTCTGCTTTATTTATGTTCTTTTCTGCTTTGTCCTTTTTGATAATGAATTTGTGTATTTATGTCTATCTCCAAAGCACAGTCACTGCCTGCTTCACAGTATTGCCATGATGCATTCATTCCCTTCATAGGCACATACTGGCCTTCCTGGGAAGCATCTCCCTGTGCTTCCCCGGTCCATTGGGCTCTGAGCAGGGAGCAGGAGAGGGCAATGCTCCAAGCCTGCAGTCAGGGCTCTTGCAGAGCTGTGGGAAATCCACTGCTGCTGGGGGCTGGCAGAGGTGACAAATGCTGTGTTCTTACCTGCTGTGACCTGCATGTATTCCCATGTTTGTATTTCCAGAATGGGACTTGGTCTCGGGTTATTATGGGATTAGTGGGTTTGTTAGGTTGGGTTTTGGCCAAAGCTCACACTCTGAGAGCCAGGGGAGGGGGCAGAGAACAGACATTTCCCATATTTCATTGTCTGTCCCTCACTTCTGTTAATCCCAACCACGGCTGAGGACTGAGAGCCCCAGTTTGGCAGAGACCTCCCTCCCAGAGGAGATGCCTGAAGCTTCATCCTGGGGAGCAGCTGTTGCTGGAGATGCAGTTGTGCTGGGCAAACTGGAAGAGACCTGCCTGTTCCAGCAGCCCTCACCATAAAGCCCTGCTTCCAGATCCATCCCTGGAGCCAACAGATGTAGGTAGATGTGGAGCCATGACTGGATCTATACTCTCTGTCTGCTCTGCATGACTCCCAAGGAGGCAGGGATCTCTAGGCTAGCTAGAAGGAGAAGGGCTTCTCTGAGCCAGGCCTCATCACTGAACTACAGCGTCTCTTGGTTAGGGCATGATCCATCTCTGGTAGTTCCTTACTTCTGGATAGGATCCTGCCACAGGATTGCCCACCCCTGCATCCTCCGGGAAATTTCCCCACAGCTGTAAATAGGAGCTCAATTTGGAAGCAGGGAAACAGAGATCATGGGCTGCTTTGTTAGCACAACAAAAGCAGAGCCTGGGAGATGCTCACACCATGCCAGGGCGATGAGCTCAGGGGAGGAGAGAGGAAGGAAGCTAAAGCATGGGAAACACAAGCCAGGTTCATCCTTCTCACTGTGTAAGTGCTGCCGTTCCTGTAGGAAATAGTGTGTGTGGGCAGCAAACCTGCTCGGGATCTATTTTATGTCTCCATATGTAGGCAGGGGGAAACTGGATCACTAGGGGTTCCTGTGCTCCCATCCTTCCTCACTGGGTTGGTAGAAACATGGTGAAGGACAGATGCCTGTGCAAGAAAAGAGGGTTGGGTTTTTTTTCCTCCAAATTCTGTTATTTCCACTTTTATTTGTAAAATACAGCTTGCTCACTGTGCTGCAGGTCACTGATTAAAGCTTATCTTGGGGTTAGGCTTTGTGTTTGCAATATGATAGCATCCGAATAAGAAGTGAATAGAAGGGAAGCTGTGCGGAAACCTCAGAGCAGCTTCCCATATCTGAAGGGGGCCTACAAGGATGCTGGGGAGGGACTCTTCATCAGGGACTATGGTGACAGGACAAGGGGTGATGGGTTCAGACTGAAACAGGGGAGATTCAGGTTGAAGGTAAGGCAGAAGCTGTTCCCTGTGAGGGTGCTGAGGCGCTGGCACAGGGTGCCCAGAGAAGCTGTGGCTGCCCCATCCCTGGCAGTGTTCAAGGCCAGGTTGGACACAGGGGCTTGGAGCAAGCTGCTCCAGTGGAAGGGGTCCCTGCCTGTGGCAGGGGTTGGAGCTGGAGGAGCTTTAAGGTCCCTTCCAACACAAACTGTTCTATGATTCTATGTAGGATGGAAATACCTTGGGAAAGGGTCTGACATTTCTCACAGAGGGCCTGTATGCTTAAGTCTTTCCGTTCTCCACTTTGCAGACACTGCAAACTAACCCATCTATACCTCTCCAAGTCTTATTTCCCCTTTGGCAGGAGTTATGCAATCACCTATTCCATCCTGTCCTGAGCTTAATGATCATCATAAGAAACTAATAAAACCTCTCAAAAGCAGAACTACAGCAGCTCCTGGCAACTTTGGGGCTTTCACTTGGGCCAACAGGGCTGAAATTCCAGTCCACAGCCACAAAGCCTTGTCTCGTGCCTGCAGAGTTGTTTCCTCCCTGACTCCTTTCCAATGGTCTTTGCTGCGAGCAGAAAGCGTGGTGCTCAGTGAGCCTGAGCAGGTTTGCTTTGAGCCTCTGTTACAGAGGGGTTTGAAGGCAAAGGGGTTTGCTTGTGTGCCCCAAAGCGAGGAGGGGGCCGGGCAGCTGAGCTGAAGGGCAGGGGCATTTTCCAACGGATTCCCTCTCCTAGCATGAGATTTTCCAAGCGCTGCAGGCGGGTGAAGCGGGGCTCGGGGCTCTCCTGGGGGATGGTTATGGGCACGCTCCCCTGGGGGTGCTGTGTCTGCCGAGGCGAGGGACGGGAGGCAGCTGCTCGTCGTGTGCAGTGCTGGCCCCAAACATTGATGTGTCCATGTGGGATCCTGCTCTGCTTTGGAAGTAGGTTGGGACGTGTTGGGACCGGGAGGATGGGGAGCTTCAGAGCCGAGCACAGCGCGCCCTGGGCTGGTAGGTGGGTTTGGGGGTGGCTGGTGCCTGTGTTTGGGGTGCAGGGACTGCAGTGGGGTGAGCGGTGGGGCTCGGGACAGGTTGCGGGAGCAGCTGCCTGCTCCTGTGATAGAGCTGCATCCACCGATACCATCCACAGAGGACATGAGGATCAGGCCGTGATGATGAAAGGGGAGAGGATGGGGAGTGCTGGGAGGCTGGCTTGGTGCCGGGGCTTCTCCCAGCACATGGCCTTTGGAAGGGGAGTGATGAGCAGGAGAGGCATCCGGCCCCTGTGCAGGGGGAAGTGTCCATATGCCAGAGCTGCAGGGGCCCCAGCGGGGCTCGGGAGGATGCATTGGAAAAGCGAATGAACCAAGGCTGCTTGCTGTGGGAAGTGACCTCTGTGCACGAAGAGGGTGAGGGTGTCTGGATAGGGATCAGCTCCCAGAATGAAGCAGGCTGTGCCCAGCCATGCAGTGATGAATGAGGTATCCCCATGAACCTCTGATCCTTTTCTGATCGGCTGCTGGTCTGGGTCAGTTCCCTACAGCAGCAGTGAGGGCAGGTGGGTGCTTTCCTGCCTGATCACGGGGCTGAACCTGCTCCCAGATCAACTTGATATCAAAACCACAAAGCAGGAATTCCGTTCTCTGGTTCCCACCTGCTCATCCTCTGGACCCAGGGCTGTGCTGCTTTAGTGCCAAGTCAAGCAACCGCCTCCTGCAGTGAAGTTGCTGCTGTGCTGGTGCCGTGAGGACCTTCTGCCCCTCAGCCCAGCCCTCCCACCCCTGTGGCTCCCCATGAACCTCAGGGTCCCGCTGCAGTGATGGCTTGAAAGAGCTTTCCCCGTGGCTGGAGCAGCCCCTTCCCTGTGCAGGCTGTGCATTCCAAAGGGACAGCTCTGCTGCAGTGCTCTGGATGTGCAGCACCGGGGCCCGGCTGTACCAGGCAGTCAGCACGGCCCCGATTCACAGCAGGAGCTGTGGGTGTGTTGCCAGCACATGGGCCACGTGCAGAGGAGAGTGATGGGATAGGCACAGAAATAACCCGGGCTGTAAATGAAATGCAGTTTACTTCTTTTGGAGCGATTGCATTGATTTTGCACTTCTGCAGCAGCGCAGGAGCCAGCCCTGGGTCACCAGCACAGCTCTGCCTGGAGCAGGGCAGTGTGTCGGAGACCCTGCTCCTGCCCTGTGGTAGGATGCTCGGGATGCATCGTCTGCCTATTGGAATACCCTGTGCACGTACTCAGCACCGTGCTCCTCGTACTCGCCCTTTGCCATCCATGCCTGCTGGAAGGATGTGAGCGATGCTGCTATGGAGCCCCCTGCCCAGGCTGCTGTGCCCCTCTCTGGGCTGGCCAGAACCTGAACCTGGCAGCCTGTGTCTTGGAGCAGGGTGTTCAGCTCTAAGCACATCCTCTCGGGAAAGCCTGGGAACATGGAGGAGCCCCCTGACAGCACGATGTTGCCCACCATGGCCCCCTTGGTGTGCTCAGGTACCTTCTGGAGGCTCTGCCAGGCCAAGTAGTGGAGCCCTGGGGAGCTTTGGTGGAGCAGCTCCGGCTGGAAGAGCGGCTCCGGGCAGCAGAACCGCTCCTTGTGCAGGGTTATGCAGTGCCCGCCAGGAGCATGAAACCTGGCTGGGTGATGGAAGCCTCGGTTCTGGAGGTCTCCTTCGTAGTCTGTGGACACGTAGCAGCATTGCTTCTTCATCTGGGTCACCGTCTTCCTCTTCAAGGCCGTCAGCGCCGCGGGCTCGTTGGCGCTGTCCATCAGCAGGCTGTGCAGGTAGCCCGAGAGGAAGGCACCGGCCACCCCCAGGCGGTACATGCCCCCCCGCTGGCTCTGCCCCAGGCACACGGGGGTGATGTGGGACACTCCAGCCCCAGCCTCCACAGCCAGGCCCGTGACCCTGCCGTAGGCACAGAGGGACAGGAACCCGGTGTTGGCCACGTGCAGGGCTGGCACCCCAAAGTGCTCGAAAAGCACCTCTGCTGCCTTCTCCCTGTTGGTGGTGGGGCACGATGGGGAGTCAGCCATGAGCACTGCCTGCTCCTCTGGAGGAGCTCTCAGGCCGCAGAAGAAGAGGTGGCTCCATAGGTTTTCCATGCTGTCCCAGTCCTCAATGATGCCCTGCTTGAGTGGGCATGACCTGGGTGCCGTGGTGAGGCCTGCCATGCTTTCAGCAGTGCTGTGGTGCTGCTGGGCCTCCCCCGTGGTGCTTGCGCTGCAGGGGTGTAGGGATGTGGTCCTTAGCACAAACTTGGGCTTCTTCTGGCCTGCAAAGCCTGCCCGGGTGAAGCTGCTGCCGTTGTCGATGACGACTGCAGGCTTTAGCATGGCAAAGTCCTGAGGGATGCTGGGGCAGGAGGAAGAGCATCACCCTGCAGTGGGACAAGAGGAGTCCTGTGGGGGCAAGCCAGGCACTGGTACCTGCTCTGCAAGGGAGGCCTCAGTGGAGGTCAGCCGCCTGCTCTGGAGCTGCTCTCTGCCTCAGCCTTTCCTCCTTGCTCCCTGCCTCACTGAGCATCCCTCCTTGGGTACCTCATCTCCGTTCCTGGGGGCACGGAGAGATTCCGGCCTTGGGATGACCGCTGGTACAAGGGCAAAACTGCAGGTTGTTTTAAGGAAGCCAGTGGGAACTGGACAGGAAAGTGACTGGAGCAGGCTGCAGGGAATGGTGCAGTGCCTGCAGCACATGGAAAGGAGCAGGCCAGGCTCACAGGGGCTGTCAGGCACTCTCAGTGGGTGACATGGGGACAGGCTGTGGGGTGGCCCCGAGCAGAGGTGCACATCACAGGTTCTCTTCCTGTTGGAGCAGAGAGGCTCGGTGCTGCCGTCCCAAGGGAAGAGGGCATGAAGCCCCCCTGCTGCCCTGTGTTGCCAGTGGTGGGTGCTCCCTGCAAGGCTGCCTGTGCATGGGGAACCACCGCAGGCTCAGCATCGCCAGCCCTGTCCCAGAGCCCCAGTGAGGGTGCAGGCAGGGAGCTCTGGGTGCCCCACAGCCCTCCCTCGAGCTGGGGGCTATTCCTACAAGTGTCCATTACCTTGTGGCTTGGAAGTGTCCATCTGCGGTACCCTGACTCCTGAGGTTGGTTGCTGGGCTGGGCTGGGGTCATTGCGGTGCATTCCCTGCTGTGACCTCACAGGCACACACCCTGAGGATGCTCGTGTCCCTCAGTGCAGTCCCTGCCTGCAGTGACTCCAAGTGTGATTGGAATCCCATCCATTGGGTTTATTTAAGGCCAGCCCCCTCCATCTGAGGCATCTGATGGATCCTTTCCCCTTCCCCGCAGAGGTACGAGACCTCCTCGAAGATGGAGCAGTTCCTGACGCGGTTCCTGCTGCGGGAGACCCTGCAGCAGCTGCAGTCCCTGCAGGCCTCGCTCGAGTGCGCCGTGGACACCGTGGAGGAGCAGGCGGGACGGGGCAGGTAACGGGGGCAGGTCCTGCCCTGCTCGTGGGGGTCACAGTGTGGGGCAGCACCCACAGGTCCCCCTGGGAGGGACATCTGGGAGCAGGATCTGCCCTTTCTGAGCCTGCTGTGACTGCCCTGCGCAGTGAATGACTTCAACCCCTCCTTTTGCATCTTATGCTTTCAGAAAGGACATAAAGAAGCCCGAGACCTTGGTTGGGGTGAGGTCAGGGAGGCGATGTGGGCGCAGAGCACAGAAGAACGTCTGCCTGTCTCCAACAGACCCCTATTCCGGGATGCTCACGACAGGTATCTGCATCCCGGCCGTCCCTCAGTTGGTCTCTGTCCCACTGGAGCAGGGGTGGGAGCAGCAGCATGGGGCAGAGCCTGGACCACATGCCCCTGGAGCTTCTGTGTGTGTGGATGTGGGATCTTGTGAGCAATGGGAAAAGTCTGAGCAGAAAAATCAGGGTTTTGGTTTAAACCGGAGGTTGAGAAGCTCCTGTGGTTTCCTGGGTCTTGAGCAAGCTTTTGCAATGAGCAGCTCTCAGTGACATCTCTGCCCTTCCCCACGCAGGCGTCTGTGTGGAAGACAGCAGCCAGTGGATGGCGCAGATCAACCGGCTGCAGCAGCTCATCGAGAAGCTGGAGTGCAAGGTGTGTGTGTGCCGGGGCCTGCGGGTGGGAGCCAACAGCCTGAATTCCATCCTGGCACCCTTACAGAGCTGCACCCGGTCACCGGACCCGGGCTTGCAAAGCTGCTCATCCCCTGCGCTCTCCATAGCCCTGCTTCTCCCCTGGGGCTCTGGCTGACCCTCTCCATGGTCTGTGCTGATCTGACCGAGTCAGCCTGGGCCCTGTGAGCCCCACAGATGAGCAGGTCTCATCCCTGCTCTCCCCCAGGTCCCCAAAGGAGCACCCAGAGTGGTACCCGCTGAGCTGGGCTGTGGGTTACTGCGGGTTTTACCTGGTTGCAAAGCTCCCCAGGATGATGTTTTTTCCTGTGGTTAAATGCAGAGCCCACGCCTGGAGCCGCTGAAGGAGGAAGCGATGTGCAAAGGAAGAGATGCAGTAAGTTCCTGTCCTGTTCCTCTTGCTTGCAGTGACCCTGCAGCGTGCACAGGTCCCCAGTCCCACTCACACAGCTGCAGAGACTGGAGTGACTGGGGTGAGCTGCTGGCTTTGCACTGGCTGCCTGGCCATGCAGCGGGATGGGATCAGAGCTGGGAGCTGTGGGACCATCCACAGGACAAATGCAGCTCCATCAGGCGCGGGCAGTGCCCATGGCCAGCCCGGTGGAAGGCAGCTCCTCTTGTGAGTGCCCAGGTGCCCCAGGGTTGTTCCAAGCACCCACAGACCACGCAGAGCCCCAGTGCAGGGGTCCCAGGCCCATGTCACGGGGGCAAGGACACAGTGAACAGCAGCAGCCCCAAGGCAGGGCCCTGCCACCAGGGGCAGGGGGGCACACATTATCCCTGGTGACACTGTTCCGCTGTCCCCCCGCAGCACATCCTGGTGGCCAAGAGGCAGATCTCGGTGGCAACGAGCAGCATCGAGGAGTTCCGCCAGGCCTGCAGGTCCTACACAGCTGGCACGGCCGGGGAGAGCAGCTGCCTGCAGTAAGTGCTTGGACACAGCATCCCCAGGGACAACAAGGGGAGGGCTTTGTGGGCTTGGGATGAAGTCTGTCCTAGCGGAGGCCAGGACAGTGCAGCAGTGTGTGTCTGCAGTGTCACCCCATCTCCTGCTGCCGGTGCTCCCCGCAAGGACCACGGGTCAGTGGCGAGGAGAAGGGCGGTGTTGCTTGGTTTTATTGCCAGCAGTGGCTGTGGCAGGAATGTGAACGTGTTCCTCCAGCACTGAAGGACTCGAAAGTAATGGGGGGAGGTCAAGGGGAGAGCTGGTGTCCGAGCCTTGCTCTGTGCTGTGTGCGAGTGCTGGGGAAGGAGAAGCAACCGCTGGGTGGGACCAGAGCTGCGGCTGGAGCCAGGTCTGGCTGCGGTGCACATCACTGCACACCACAGAGCTGCTCTTCCAGAGGTGCTTCCCTTCCCCGTGGGACATTTAGAGCTGGGGAGGCTCCCATTGAAAGTGTCATTTTTCAGCTCTTCAGTTCCAGCAGCACAAAACCGCATTTTCAGTGCGAACAAGAGGAAGATCCTTGTTCTGGCACGTGTGGCACAGAGAGCGGCAGGTTTTGTCCTCTGCAATCGATGCTGTTCTGGCAGGAGAACAATGAGTGCAGAGAGCTGGGTAGCACTGCATGGGCAGTGCTCTCATGTGAGTGGAAAAGCTGGAGCGAAGCGCAGGGAGGCTCCTGGGTCACAGCAGGGAACATGGCCTCGGAGCTGGGCCCGTCCCTTCCTGCAGCAGCTGGAGGAAAGGCTCATCCTCAGCTGGAGCTGGTGACGCTGCAGCCGGTGCAGATGGTTCCCTGCACCCCGAGCACTGCTCCCATCTTCCCAGGGGCTGAGGAAGCCCCAGCCCGGCCCTGCTGCAGGAGGCGGCGTGGGAAGCGTTGGCCAAGCAGCATCACCCTGGGGTCAGCAGCTGGGGGTTCTGGTGGGGTCTCAGGTCCGTGCGCTTGGGCCCCTGTTTCTTGCCGTGGCAGGGACAAGGGATGAAGAAACTTCTTCTCAGTGAGGGTGACAGAACACTGGAACAGGCTGCCCGAGGGAGGTTGTGGAATCTCCTTCTCTGGAGACATTCAAAACCCGCCTGGACACGTTCCTGTGTAACCTTATCTAGGTGTTCCTGCTCCGGCAGGGGGATTGGACTAGATGATCTTTTGAGGTCCCTTCCAATCTCTAACATACTGTGATACTGTGATACTGTGATGGCACAGAGCTACTGCAGAGGGCTGGCGGGGTGGGCTGCTTCCTGAGGCTCTGCACCACAATGCCAGGGATGGGCTAAGGGATACTTAATGGAACCCTTTACAGGGTGCACAGCTGCAGTGCTCCTGCGCTGCCTGGGCTAGGAACTGTGAAGCAGGAGGGATTTGGGTTTGGGATGCCCTGGAGCCGTGTGCCAGCCACAGACTGAGCATGAATCCATGCAGCTCTGGCAGCCTCATGGCAGGGCCCATGTGCAGCCCCTGTGCCCCTTGCTCTGGTACCGCTGTGGCTGCTCAGTGCCAGCCCCCCCCGGCCCTGTCTCAGTGTCCCTCCTGTCCCGCAGCGTCTCCGCCTGCAAGCTGAGGGACGAGGCCTGCTTCATCCTGTACGAGTTCTGGCAGGACGCGACCGCCTGGAGGAGGTTGGAGCCTTCCCTCGTGTGGGGCTGGGGGCTCACGGTGGGGGGGAGTTTCCTTTGGGGCTGTCCAAGGACCCCCCCTTGCTCCCTGTCCCTGTGCTGCCCATGCTGCTGCTGCTGCTGCATCCCAGTGCATCCCCTGGGCTGCTTGCAGGGGGGAACACCCTGGGAGGGGGCTTGGGGAGCAGGGAGGGATGTGCTGCTCTGGGAGGTGCATGGGCAGAGCTCCCGCAGGGCACACACAAGCCTCGGGGCCGCTGTTCTGCAGCCACCTGCAGTCGAGCTGCAGCAAGACGTTCCAGCGCTCCATCATCAGCCTGCTGGAGTCCCCGGAGCTGCTGACCACCATGCTCTTCCCAGGTGAGGGCTGCGGGGGGCTGGGGGCTCTCATCGGGGCTCTCACTTCATTCCCTGAGCTCTGAGCCTGCCCTGCAGAGCTCTGTCCCCCCTGGGCCATCCCCGTGCCTGTGCCCAGGGTTACAGCTCAGTGCTGCTGAGGCAGGGCAGAGACCAGGGGCAATGCATGCTCCCCTTGGTACCAATGGAAACCTGGCTGAGAGGTGAGGAGCCAGGAGGGCTGCGTGGCACCTAGCACCCAGCTAGGACCCAGTTTGCTGCCCCTTTTGTCACTTGAGCATGAAACATGGATTAATTTGGCCTAAATGCCAGGCCAGTCCCAGTGACCCTTGCAGCTCACATGGGTGACCCAGTTCCAGGCCATGCCCTGCCCGTGCTCCTCACCCTGGGCTGGTGGCTGCTTTAGAGCTGGGCACCAGGGCCCTGCCAAAGAGCCTGAGCTGCAGGGCCGGATCCCCCCATCTGTGCTGCCCCACATCCCTGCGCTGACTGCACATCCCTGCCCCTCTCCCCAGCATCCTGGTGGATCATGAACAACAACTGAACCGGGCAGGATGCCGCTGCCGTGTGGAAGACGTGGAGCCCTCAGCACAGCCATCCCGTTCCTCACCTCCGTGTCCTCATCCCCTCCTTCATCTTTATTCCCTCCCCAGGCCATTCCCACTGGCAGCAGTGGGAGCTGGGGTCAGGGTGGCTGCTGGGGAGCACTGGGCTGGTTGCTGTGTCCCTCCTCTTCCTCCCCATGCTCCTCTTCCTCTTGGCCCACGATGTGCTGGGGGACACGGCTGTGGCCTCCCCAGCCCTGGCACTGGCTCTGCCCATGGGGCCGGTGCCTCGTGTGCATTGTGAACAGTGTTTTATAGGAACATTAAGGGAGTGTTCCTGGGAGGGGGGGGGCTCAGCCCTGGCCATGTGCAGCCATTGCCATGGCTGTGAGCCTGGCCTTGAACCCCCCCTGCTGTGCCCGTCCCCAATAAATCACAGCCCCAGTGCAGGGGCTCGAGCGTGGCTCCAAGCTCTTGCTTCATCCTATGGCTCTGCTGCCATAAACCAGCACCAGTGGGGCCAGGAGGCTGGAGCTGGGTTCATGCTGTTGGGGAGCACGGGGTGAGTGGGAAAGTGCCTGTGGCTGGAGCAGAGCAGAGCCCACCTGGTCCATGGGGTGCACACATGGGGGTCCAGGACTGGTGCTGCAGGAGCCAGTCCTCTGCTGTGCTGGTGTGCAATGTGCTGGCTTAACAGCACGGGGCAAATGTGAGTGAGGGCAAGAGCTGGCACCCCCAACCCTCGCTCTCCTGGCTACGTGTTCCCCCCCCCCCAACTCTCTTCCCACTCCCTGCGGATGCTGCTCCCCACCAGCCCCCCGGAAACACTGATTTCATGGAAACCCAGCCTGGGTTGGGTTGGGAGGGACCTTAAAGCTCCTCCAGCTCCAGCCCCTCCCATGGGCAGGGACCCCTTCCACTGGAGCAGCTTGCTCCAAGCCCCTGTGTCCAACCTGGCCTTGAACACTGCCAGGGATGGGGCAGCCACAGCTTCTCTGGGCACCCTGTGCCAGCGCCTCAGCACCCTCACAGGGAAGAGCTGCCCAAGAGCTGCCTGTTTCCTCCCCAGTCCATGGGTGCAGCAATGAACACAGCTGCCCTGTGGTTGAAGGGGCTGTGGGTACAGATCCATCCCATGGACACTGCACACAAGCAGGATTTTCCCAGGTGTCCCTGGGCTTGGGGTGCAGGGAGGGGGATCCTGGTGGATGCAGAGATGGGATCAGCAGGAGCATCCCTGTAGAGGAGCAGGGAGCAGCAGCCACTGCTGCCTGCTCAGCTGGGCCCCATCGCACCCCATCCCATGGCCCAGGCGACCAAACAGCCAATGTCCCCCCAGGCCCTGCAGCAGCATCACCACCGCAGGGGAGGGGTTGTGTCCCCTGCAGCATCCCCCAGAACCCCCGCCAGCAGCAAACCTCTGCCCCTGCTGATGAATATAGTCTTTTTATTGACTACTTTGGAGTAGAACAAACTAAATACATCTGTACCAGTTTGGGTTCCTTTATACAGTACATTAAATAAGTTATGCACAGGAATGAAGTAACAAATCCCTATTACAGAATTAAATGTCAAAAAATAATAATAGAGAAACCTCAACCCAACGTCTGCCCAAGCCTGGGGTTCACATTTATCATTCCATGTCGAACAAAAGCAATCGCTCTAACCATGACTGTTAGTATTTCATCCATGTACACTGGGGTTAATCTGAATACACCATCAAGGTTGCATGAGAATTATGGAAGACAATCTATGTACAAGCACCTTCCTCCTCTTCCCACATCCCACCTCGTGGTGTTAGGGCCACCACTGACCCACAGGGTTGGGGCAGGGCAGAGGTGAGGGATGTCACAACCAGACCTGATTTACCTGAGGCTGCTCCCAATGTGCCCCCTTAGGGCCTGTGCCCCGGGGCTGCCGGGGTTTGGGGCTCACCCCATCACCTGCATCACTCCTGGGGTGCAGGACTCCGCTGGCTGCCCCTGCTTCCAGGCTGCTGCAGGTCAGGGCGCTTCACCCCAAGGTTCAGCATCCTCCTGCCCGGCCCCCAGCAGCTGTGTTGGTGCAAAGGGCACTGCTGGGGCCATGGGTGATGCTCCCAGCTGCCACCAGAGCTGTCTTCAACACCAGGCAAAGACTCTGGGGTTCTTCTGCATGGTAAGACCTCACAGGCACAGGAATTGCCCAGCTCTATCCCATGACAGCAGCTTCCGAACAGCTTTCCTCAGGGACAGGAGGGTTCAGTAGGGCACTCGTTCATCCCTGGGCAGCCAGCCCCACCACAGCACGCTCCAGGTGATCCATCCCATCTCCATCAGTCACCTCCAACTGAACTGATCCAAACTAACTTGGGAATTACTCGCCTCATTGGGCTCCAACCCAGGAGCAGCCATGGGAACACGGCTCTGCTGAACTGATGGTTCTCCAGAGCCCCTTGGGGTGCAGGGTGGGAGAGTGGGGCAGAGCCCATCAGGACGTCCATGAACCATGAGATGAGCCCCACTGTGCCCCCAAACAGCCCCACTGTGATGTCTGCAGTGCCCCGAATCCCTCCATACACATCCTAAGCAATGAATCTTCCCAGGCCGGCCATAGCATCCTTGCGGGATCTCACTCTGCATGTTTGGGATGCTCGGATGGTGGACAAGGCAGTGGTGGCACATCCATGGGGATGAGGAGAGGAGTGCAGCCGGTGTCAGAGCAGCACCACAGGGCTGGGGGAAGAACCGATGCAGGAGGACACCAAGTCCTGTGTTTAGTTTGGCCAAGGCGTGCAGAGAGCACAGTAACAGTCCTGTGAGGATCTCTGGTTCAAAACCACGGCAGAAACTCCCAAACCAACAACTTCCATGCAGTGAGAAACACAAAAGCTTTCTGCATAGCAAAGTAACAGCACCCCGGTGGGAAGGGCAGTAACTGCCTGCAACCAAGCCAGGTTTGGTCTGCACGCTCTCCTCCCAGCAAAGGTCCCACCAGGGTGACACAGAACCGTCCATCCCATCACCAAATGGGATTAAAACCGTCCAGAAGTGACTGCCCACAGCTCCCTGGTACTGACATTTGGTTTAGAGCAGATGAATCCCCTCCTCCCCCTCTGCAACCACCAGCTGCCAGCCTGCAGGCAGAGGAGGAGCCAGCTCAGCTTTTGCCATTGCACTAGAGGACGAGATGCTCCTGCTGGGGAATCAGCTCCGGCCTGTTCACAGCAACCCCCGGCCACCTGAGACACCGTGCCTGGGCGCCAGGGGAGCACGGGTCCATGCTGTGGAAGAAAGGAAGCTGAGGAAGGAGCTTGAGCACATCTGGCCCATGAGGATGGAGCTCCCATTGTTCACCCCATGCTCAGCATCTCCTGCGTGCGCCAGCAGCTCCCCACCGAGCCCAGGTCCCCCCGAGTGAGCGTCCAGTGTCCTCCAGTGCTGAAGGATGCTCTGGTTCTCCCTGCAGGGAGACGGGCACCGAGGTGCTGTGGGCAAGGTTCTCGATGAGCCACGGCAGGAAAAGGCAGAATGCGATGGCAAAGCCCGAGCGTCGGCGCTGCGAGGAGGCGGCGCCATGTGTCAGATGTGTCACGGGGTACGAGGCGCTGTGGGGCGTTTTCTGGCTCAAACCCCCCCCAAGGGAAACCACTCAATGGGAGCGAACCCAAACTTCCCCTTCAGAGCCCGTTCGTGTCTATGGCTGTCACGGATGCGGGGGTGGAGGAGCGGGACGTGGTTGCCGAGGTCTTCTCGAGGGCTGGGCTGGGAACGCCGTCGAGGCTCTTGGCTGCGGAGCGGCCCGTGGGCAGAGCCAGGGGCTTGCTCTGGCCGTGCAGGCTCTGCCCGCAGATGCGGTGGTGCCTCTCCCAGTCCTTGTGCTGGCAGAAGGAGCCGCAGTAGCGGGCGATGTTGCAGCCGCTGCAGGTCTCGCTGGCTTTGCGACCGCAGTTCCAGCAGCTCTGCAAGACCAGAGACACCAAAACGGGTTCAGTTCCTGAGGGCTGCGGGATGGTGCTGACTCAGCAGCTCTGGAGGGGACCGCTCATCCCCTCTCTGGCCCAGATTTAATACCATTAACATGAGCAAGCCATTAATCCCTGCTGCTTTGCCAAGGGTACCAACCACACTCTGCTCTGCCCAAACCTGCCTGCCAGAATGCACCGCTCACATCCTCCACCCAAATGCATAGAGGAAACAGCAGGCAAGGGCTAAAAACCACGCTGCAGATGCTGCTATCCGGCCTTTTTATTTCCTGTTTTAAGCAGCTCTATTTTGGTCTCGCTCCCAGCCCAGTGCCTCCGCAGGGATTACAGCGCGTTGTGCAGGCACCATGTGCCGTGCCCCCTGCCTCGCTGCACAGGAGGCTGGAGCAGGCTCATTTGGAAAGGAAAAACATCTCCTTTGAAGCCAGGTGGAAGCAGCACCAGAGCCTGGCTCTTATCTGGAAGTGGAGCAGAGCCCGACCAAAGAAGTGCCTGCGGGCACCATGTGAGCGCCAGGAGCTGCGGCTGCTCTGAGGCAGGGCATGGATCAGCTTTCCTGCAGCTGCACCCCTGCGTCAGCAGCGCCCTGAGCAGGGCAAGGTCAGCTCACGGAGAAAGAGCCTTGGCCAGAGCCTGGTCCTGCCCCTCTGGCTGCTCCCCGCTTCGGTGCCTGCAAGCAAAGAGCTGCTGGAGCAGGGACGGGGGTGGTGGAAGATGCTGGGTGCAGCACTGAGATTCCCTGCTCCCAGGGTCTGCACCAGAGCACCAGCTCCTGGTGATGATTGATGGGCTGGAGGCAAAGCACCAAAGTGAGCTGGTGGGGAGCGAGCTGCTCCAGAGCCAGTGTGACCCCGGGGCTGCTCGCGCTTCCTGAAGCAGGACTCACAACCAGAAATCCCCACCAAAGCCTTGGTAACTTGGAAAACTGGGGCACTGCTTTACAGCTGTCTGCACTTCAAGGGGTTAAACTGCTTCAGAGGTTACACCTGCCAGAACACACGGCAGCTCTTCAGCATGGCCCCAGGGAAGGGCTCTGGGGCTTGCACAGGAGGAGCTGGGGGGGTGACAGCGGCTCCCCGGAATGGCTGGAGGAGAAATTCCAGCTTGCCTCATTTCTTCCATGGCTTCCTGAGCAGTTCCACCCACTCCCATCATGTGTTTACTGACTGGTGCATTCAACCAGCAGTGATTGAACTGGGACATATCAGAGTGCAGAGAGAATGCTCTGTAAGAACACCTAATATTTACATGGTTCCTGCAGCGCATGGGGACAGGAGCTTCCCGAGCTCCAGACTGAAGGCCCACAGGAGGAGGGAATGGGACTTGCTGCCCGCACAGACCCAGCTGACATTAACTCCACGTTCCCATCCCATTTCTGCTCCGCAGAAATAAAAGCCTCTGCGTTCGTGCAGGAAATTAAAACAAGAAGCAAACCACACGTGGATGGGAAGTGGTGGTGCAGGAATGAGCTGTGCAGTTCTTGCCCAGTCCAGCTGAGATCTCCATGAGCTTCAAATTAAGCAGCAGGGAAGGTAATGAATGACTGAGGTGTAGATCGAGTTCCCCATTCAGCAGTGTCACTGGCTATGACAAACCAAGAGTCAACCCTTCTATTCCAACGTCTCATTAGGTGTTACAAGGCTCCTCACAGCAGGGATGGCCACCCTGCACCAACACTTCCCACCTACCCCTGCACGTATGGGAACGACACAGCAAGAACCATGGGGGCCTGGAGATGAGGTGAGCACACATGGCCCAGGCTCATGTTTTGGGATCCAGTGGAACAACGACATCCCAGAAAATACACATGATGTGGGGTATGGTAGAGACCATCAGGTACATGAAGCTTCACCTGCAGCCAAGCTTTTATCCTGCACTATTTTAAAGCCCACAACAGAGATTCATTTTCTGCACAGATCAAGTACCCCACAGCAGGTTTCTGAGCTAAATGGAGAGCTGCATCCACCATCATCCTTCTGCTTCCACATCTCCCTTGATCCCAAGAAATCCTCGTCATTGCACTGGGTCACAGAGTCCCAGACTGGTTTGGGCTGGAATGGACCTTAAATCTCATCCAGTTCCAACCCCTGCCACAGGCAGGGACCCCGTCCACTAGAGCAGCTTGCTCCAAGCCCCTGTGTCCAACCTGGCTTTGAGCACTGCCAGGGATGGGGCAGCCACAGCTTCTCTGGGCACCCTGTGCCAGCGCCTCAGCACCCTCACAGGGAAGAACTGCCTACAGTCTAACCTAAATCTACCCTCCAGTAGGGTCCAGGTCATGGACGCCAGTTGTGACTTCATGTGTGGACACCAATTCCCCTACAAACAAAATCAAAAGCAAAAGGTTTTTTTTCCATGCTAAGTGCATCCTGGCAGGGCACCCATAACACACAGTAATAGTAACTGAACTGAGACTCCTAAAAGGAAAAGGGATGAGGAACCTGCAGGCTCTGAGTCACTGCTGGGCAGGACCTGGAGACTTGGAGTGTTTGCAAGTCCCCTGCTAGCATGTCCCCTGGCACCTTACCTCCGTAGACTCCTCCTGCTCATTTATCACTAGGAAAGCATCCTCGGTGGCCTGGCGCTTGGCGTCCGCGATGGTCTGCTCCATGCGCGCCCTCTCGGAGGCGATCATCTCAAACGCCTTCTGCTCGGCCTCTGCCACTGCCTTCTGCACCTCGGACATGGCCTGGCGCTTCACCTCGTTCACGGCTTCTTCTGGAAGGAAAGAGCAGCTTCAGCACCCGCCCCAGGGGCAGGGGAGCCCCACAGAGACACCGGGGTGCAGCCACGTGTTCCCTGTGGCAGCACCAGCACCGCCAGGCTCAGCCCCACGGGCTCCCCACACATCATCCAGAAGGAGCTGAGCCCTTTGGAAAAGCCAGGCTGGGGGTGTTGGCAGCCAGATGTGCACATCCTGGGGCGTTCCTGCAGCTGGGCTGCTCCTGTTTCTGCCGAGCAAAGCTGCAGCATCTGTGTTTACCGCAGGCGAGGCGGCCAAGCCCTCGCCAAGCTCCTCACAAACACTCACCAGCTTTTTTCCAGATCTCCTCAGTGACGTAGCCCGTTCCCGACCTGCTGCTGAACTCCCGCAAGGAATCTGCTGGAATAAGGGACACAGCAAAAGGTTGGCACAGCCTCGTCTCAGCCAGCTGCTGCTGAAGTGCCCAGCAGTGCCTCCGTACATCGCGGGGCAGGGCAGAATCAAGCAGCTCGAACTCAGAGCAGAGGATTCCTACAGCTAAAGCTGTGCATCAAACGCTCATGATAAATTACAACATTTAATTAGTGCCTTGCATAATTTATGACCCTGTATAACCCATTTCCTGGTACTCTGTAACAACAGGCAATGCTTATGCTATGTTTGTATGCCAAACATCTGCACTGGCCAGAGACTCTGAGCATCAACCTATGTGACCAGCAGCTTACATTAAACACAGCTCTTCCCACTCCCAAGGGCAATTCAAAGGCTTGAAATGACAAACTGCCCTGCAAGACCTCTTACAACCAGAGGTGTACACATCCCTCAGCACCCATGAGCCTGCGAAGAGCCAATGTGACAGATGGGGATGGTGACACAAGGGCCTGAACACAGACTGCAGTCACGCAGGGAAGCTTTTCGAAGCCTCATCCTGTGTCCCTGGTTTTTAAGGCTTCAGAGTAACTTTCTGAAGGCTCAGAACAAAAACTGATTCATGTCCAAGGTTGGTGGGAGAACAAAAGCACTTTGTGAGTTCTCACAACAGGAATGGAGCGTGACAATCAGCCCTTGGTCCCACAAGGGGAGGAAGCATCAACGGTGTTCCCAATTCATTAAAAAAGAATATTAAACTATATCACCTTTAACATCATGGGGCTGTAAGTGTATTAGTCATGACAGACTTAAATATAAAAGGGCTAAAAGCTGGCTGTGCTCATGAGGCCATCACGCAGCCCAGCCACCCCATGGGCTCACACTGTATTTACTGGGATGGAAATAAGAATCACATCCAGATGAATAAACCAGCATTTTAGACTTGGTTTTGTACAATGGTCAAACCCCCTGCATACTGGAGGTGAGAAACAGTCAGCTTCAATAAGGTTAACTTGACTCATGATATAGAAATAGAATTAATAAGCCAGGTAGCTCTTACATTTACAGCAGTCTTTGGCATTTTAAGAATTAGCAGACCGTGACATTTTAGATCGTGTAGACAGACTGGGAAGGGAAGAGAGCTGGAACCAACCACTTCTTCTGCCTTTTCACCCCCCAGTTTCTCTGTGGATAAACTTGGCTTGGTTTGGTCAGCGAGTACAGCTCACTGACAAGGAAAATGCCCTTCTCCCAGAACTAACAGAAGCTGCTTCCTCCAGGAGCTCACCCAGGAGCTTCCACGTATCCACTGACTTGTCTCTCTCCAAAGCATTGAGAACAGTTATGCACTGCTGAAGTATTTAATTTACAGAATTCCAGACTGGTTTGTGTTGGAGGGGACCTTAAGGTTAATCCAGATCCAACCCCTGCCACAGGCAGGGACACCTTCCACTAAAGCAGCTTCCTCCTGTTAGGGTGGTGCGGCACTGGAATAGGTTGCCCAAGGAGGTTGTGACTGCTCCATCCCTGGCAGTGTTCAAGGCCAGGTTGGACGAGGCCTTGGGTGATGTGGTTTAGAGCGAGGTGTCCCTGCCCATGGCAGGGGGGTTGGAACTTGATGATCTTAAGGTCCTTTCCAACCCTAACTAGTCTGTGATTCTATGATTCTATAAGCCCCTGTGTCCAGCCTGGCCTTGAGCACTGCCAGGGATGGGGCAGCCACAGCTTCTCTGGGCACCCTGTGCCAGTGCCGCACCACAAATTATACCATTATCAGACCCTATTATCATCACTTTCTGTCTAATATTGTCCTAAGAGGACACCACAGGAGGTTGTGGCCGCCCTGGCTCACCACTGCCGATGGAGTCGGAGCTGCTGGGGCTGTGCTGCCTGGGGAGCAGGTCGCTGCCCGCCTTGCGCGGCTCGGCCTCGCTGCACCGCCTCTTCCAGTAGTTGAGCTCCTCCCGGTCGGCCTCCTGGCAGCGCCGCAGCACGGCCATGGAGCGCCGCGTCTTCTCCACCATCTCCATGATGCAGTTCAGTGCCTGCAGGAGGAACGTGTGCTCAGTCTGGCTCACAGGGTCATCTCCTCGATTTCTCACTGGAGGCTCCATCTCAGGAAGATGTCATTGTCTGGAGTGATGCTCCAATCTTCCCTCCCCACCATCCACCTCCTTGTGGTGGCCTGTTCCTCCACAAGCCTCTCAGAAAGCCCAGATATGGTATCAACAACAAGAAAATCAAATTGGAGCAGGTGGATCACTGGGTTGCTGCATCCCACAGAGCTTCCCACATCTCCTGCCTGTTCCTTACGTGATCAAGATGCTTCCACTCATCAGCCCACTCTCTCTCTGTCAAGCGGTGGTCCACCAGCTCATCCTGGTATCCTCCATTCAAACCTGCAAGAAACCACAGCCACAGGAGTGATCAGATGGACCAAGGGCTTTCAGTGCTGCAGAGGGGATGTGGCCCTAAGCGATAACAAGGAACAGTATTTCAGCTACATGTAACTGAGACTGTAAAACACATCTCAAGGAGGTGGCTCTACAGGGGCAATTCCACACTGGTGCTTTTATCCTTATCTGTGTCACCATCTCTGAAGTGCTACAATCCACTCACAGCTCTGGATCTGATCTGCTTGCGAGCTGTCTCCCTTATAACCCCACAGGAGCTCAGAGCTCGTGCCCTGTTGGAAACACAGCACGTACCTCCCACACCCCCTTGGGGAGATACGGGCTGGGGGGCCAGGCTCTGCTCTCCCGCTTCAGTGATCTCAGGGAAGTTACTTTCTACTTCCCTGCCTGCTGGGTTGGCCACACTCAACTCACACACTGGGTCCTTCCTCCTTACCCTGGGTGACACCAGCCTTTACATGTGTACAGGGAAATACAGCCTCAGCCTTCCCATTTTAACCTTCCACGCTCTGAATCCCCTTCAAAATCTCTTGCTGAGGACATGGCCACATTACACAGCTTTGGGTGCAAGTGGCCAAGCAGGGACTGATGCCAAAGCTCAGCTCCTGGACCTCACAGCTCCTACAACTAGAAGCCCTGCAGGCTTTCTCACCCAGAGCGCCGTGCCTGTCCCGGATCTCTCTGTGCTCCAACATCTTGCTGGGGTCCCTGTAGAGGTGGGAGGTTGCGATGTCTTCCAAGGTGTAGTGCTGGAGGGGCGGCGGGGTGGGGTGGAACTGCCCCCCGGGGTTCATCAGGGGGATGGTGAGGGCCGGGCTGTGCCGGGGCGCAGGGCTGATGGTGCACACCCGCTTGGCCGGGGGGTCTGTCGGCAGCGGGTCCCTCTCAAAGCTGCTGTCGTCCCTTCTGCAACCACACCAGCAGAGAGGTGTTAGCACAGCACGAATGCACTTGCAAAGGGAAAGATGCGGATTTCAAACCAGTAGAGCTGGGGCAGCGATGATTTTAGTGTGTGGGGGGGAAGGCAGGGAGCTAAACCAAACACACTCAGCTTGGGAACAAATCCACAGGATGACCCTGTCAAAGAACAAGGTCAAGATGCCCGAGTGCTGTGATTCATCTTTCTGAGCATGACCACATTAACATTTCACAGTTTTGGTAAAGCTGAGGCATGCTCCACATCATTACATAACAAATTCCGACTTGGAATAGGAAGTGCTGAAAACAAACTGCATCCTTCCAAGAGAGTGCCTCTGTGAGCTGCCTGGGCAGGGGGAGCTCAGCTCCCTCTGGGACAGAACCGGCCTGCAAGAGGATCCCAACCTGAATTCACAGTGCAGGAAGAACAATCACTGATGTCTCACTAACAGCCAGAACAGTTGTTGAGAGTGGTAAAATCTGCTTTAGCCCTGAGTGATGTTAAAGCTTTGACAGCAGCACAGCTGAATCAAGTCACGACTTCAAGACCGCGGCAGCACACCAAGTGCTGTGTTTACCTGTCTGGACTGTGCCTCTTCCCATTCCCGTTCACCTCGATGAGCAGCTCGGAGGAGTCAGCGGGGGACGTGGTGTTTGTGTTCAGCAGGATGTGCTCGTGCTGCGCCAGGTACTGGGAGGGCGTCTGCTTGGCAGCGCGGGCGCAGTGCAGCAGCTCTCTCTGCAGCAGCGGGAGGTTGGCCTGGAAAACAAGTGGGGTCTGCTCCACCCAGGCAGCTCCAGCTGCTCACACGGTTGCTCTGCACACCTCAGAGCAGTAGCACTGGGTTAATGCACCCCACTGAGCTTCAACCCCTCTGCTGTGCTCTGGGGAGAACCCCCCCTGCAGCCCTGATCGAGCTCTGGGGCAGCAGCACAAGAGGGACGTGGAGCTGCTGAAGTGAGGCCAGAGGAAGCCATGGAGATGCTGCGAGGGCTGGAGCAGCTCTGCTCTGGAGCCAGGCTGAGAGAGCTGGGCTGGGGCAGCCTGGAGAAGAGAAGGCTCCTGAAGGGGAGACCTTAGAGCAGCTCCAGTGCCTAAAGGGGCTGCAGGAAACCTGGAGAGGGGCTTGGGACAAGGGCCTGTAGGGACAGGCCAAGGGGAATGGCTTGAACCTGCCCGAGGGGAGACTGAGCTGAGCTCTTAGGCAGAAGCTCTTCCCTGTGAGGGTGCTGAGGCGCTGGCACAGGGTGCCCAGAGAAGCTGTGGCTGCCCCATCCCTGGCAGTGTTCAAGGCCAGGTTGGACACAGGGGCTTGGAGCAAGCTGCTCCAGTGGAAGGGGTCCCTGCCCATGGCAGTGGCTGGAGCTGGAGGAGCTTTAAGGTCCCTTCCAACCCAAACCAGGCTGGGATTCTATTAACACCTAGAGCCTGTGGCCCCCACTCAGGATCCTCCAGCTCCTGGTGTCTGCACTAGGATTTATCTGTATTTCCTCAAGAGCTGAGGATGGCCTGACACCGATGCACCCAAACCCCAACTGTCACGGGAAGCGCTCTCTGCTTCCAGCATCCAGCCACCCCCAGACAGGCTCCACGTGCCAACACTTCAAACATTCTAGATCTGAACATCTGCAAGTAAGATTATGGGATCAGAAGCTCCTGATGGAGCTTGGTTTGTCTCCTTTATCCCTAACATACAAGCAGACATATGTGGCACTTGTTACAAAGTCAGCTTTCCACAAGCCCGTTCCGCACGGCCACTGCTCGGTCTGTGCAGTCTGTCTTGGACTGGAACTAAATGGCTGTGGCGCTTGAAGGAGGAGCTTTCCCAGGCATGACACACTGCCAAGCACAGAGCCCAACACACAGAGCCCCATCAAACTCCCACCAGCTCCCTGTCACCTTCAGAAAGGGGATCACAAAGGGCCGGAGGGGGAAGTTGGTCGCCTCTTGCAGCTTGCAGTGAAATTCCTCGATTGTCACTGTTGAGTTCTGAGGAAACAAATTAAGAAATGAAATGACAATTTGCTCTTATTTTTAGACACATGGGAAACGGCTCCAAATGAACAGAACTGGAAGAGAGACTGCATCTGCCACGCTGGGACTGACAGCTTCCATCGGATTCAGCCCAACAGCCAAGACGACTCAGGCCAATGGAGCAGGATTGCTGCACCAGGCAAGGGGTGAGCGCTGCCTGGCCCACTATCTTCCCAGCTCCTGGGCTGGGAGCAGAGCCTGGGTCTGGGAAGCAGCAGGACCCAGCTGGCAGCTCCTGCAGGGAGCCAGGCATTGATTCCAGCTGCTCAGAGCTGCACCCTTTCCTCTCCTCCTTCCACCAGCCATGAGGTCTCCATCACCCTGCTCCTGCAGCACATCCCCTGGGGCTCTGCAAGCTGCCTGCTCCCTGGGACAAGCAGCATTTGACAACCTGCATGTACAGAGTTCAGCCCTGCAGCAATCGCCATAATCAGTGGTGAGATGACAGTCACAGGAACCTGGGCAGCTTAACATTTCCATTTCCAAAAGGGTGAGCTAAGGTACTACCCTGCACCCATGGAAATGCATATTTCTTCCTTCAGCAGCAGCATTTTGAATCCAGTGTTCAAACCCTGACACTGCTCAAGGCCAGGTTAGATGGGGCTTGGAGCAAGCTGCTCTAATGAAAGGTGTCCCTGCCCGTGGCAGTGGTTGGAACTGGATGGGCTTTAAGGTCCCTTCCAACTCAAACCAATTTTGTGACTCCATGAAACCCTGAAATCCCCCAAGGTTATGAAGAGACTCATGGCTGCTCTGCCCACGACAAACAGCAGAGCTGGTCCTGGGATCAGCACTGGGATCAGCCATATGGGCCCAGCCATAGTGCTGTGCTCCAGGGTCTCAAGTCCCAGCTCTGGGCTTGCACAGCATTTCTACCAGGTAGTCTCTATACCTGCAGATACTTGACACAATTGTGCAGCAAGACTTGTTCATTTGGTTTTTAAAGGATGTTTTCAGGGGTCCATAGCTGCTAAGAGGCACGAAGGCACAGACACACACTGTGTTTGCACTGCCACCCACCCCAGCTCTTGCAAATCCAAGCATGGGAATGCAAAAGAAGGGCAGAAGATGCACAAGTTACTGATCAATCCCTTTCCTATAGCTGCACCCTCAGACTGTCACAGGCATGGATGTGTCTGGAAGAACCAATGCCTTTGGTAACACACATATGCAATCCCACAAAGCAGCAGCTGCTCACCAGGAGCCCAGACCTCTGACTTTGCAACCGCGGCCTTCCCAGGCTCTGCAGACTTTGGCAATGGTTCACTCTGCTGAGCCAGTGGGTTTGGGTTAAGACATGGCAGGAGCAGCCCATAAAGAGGAAAACAGCCCATTAAATACATCACTGCTTATCAATAAATTACATTTTTGAAGTATCCTAACAAGTCTCTACACGCTTGGGAGCAAAGTAGGATTCCCAGCTCTCTGGAGTGAGTCCCTGCTAGCGACAGCACCCTGCCCTTCCCAGTACTGCTGGCTCCCTTGCTCAGAGCTGCCACACTGAGCTCAGGCCAGAACTAAGTAGTGGCTGGAACTGGTTTTTTGTTGTATGGAAGCAGATGAGAGTTAAACTGATCTGTGGCTGGGTCAGGCAATTAACACCTGCACAGGCAAGGAAACACTTCCCCAGCTACAGACTATAACTACAGACTCTTCTGAACTGGGTGAACAGTTTCATTTAGGAGGAGAAATGGAAAGCCCAGCGTAGCCTACGACACCAGACCCATGGCCTTTAGAGGACGGCTTTGTCCCAGTCCGTCCAGAATTCCTTAAGTTTGGCTGCACGCAAGCTGATGCCAAAGCCACCGGACAAACAGCTTTTTGAAACCCACCAAGGCCAAGACAGAAAGAAGTCCACAAGTTTACCAGAATGCATAAACACTGCAGAGCCCTGCTCAGCCAACAGCTCTGCCTGGAAACACGCAGACACACAGCGTTGTGTAACACGGGTACACGCTGCCTGCCAGGATCCCATCCCAAAGTGCGCTCCAAGATCGAGGCAGCCTGAGCTGGGATGTGAGGCTTACCACCAGCGCCAGGACCAGGGTCCGGACCTTCTCCCCGATCTCTGGTGAGATGTCATTGCCAAACTGCTGCAGGGTAGTGAGGAAGCGCTTCAGCTTGCTGAGCTGCCGGGCACCACACGTGGCTGGGAGCTGCTGGTTCGTCAGCGAGGAGGAGGAGGAGGAGGAAGGACCGTTGCTAAACCTCTGGGGTGGGGATGGAGCCCCGTTCAGGGTCGGTGGGGAATGGTTTATTCCGTTGGGCACTGTAAATAGGAGAGAGAAGTGATATTTGGTGTTTAAGAGGATCCAGGACCCTGCTGCTGCTGGCTAATTGCTGCTAGCAAACAGGGCAAGAACCAGAAAAGGGGCTATGGGCAGAGCAGAACCTGGATATTGTGCTGGAGGGCACCCACGGTGGAGCTGATCACCAACAAGACGTGTGCCTTCTCTTCAGGTTTCCCCTGGGCTCACAGGGATGCTCTTGCAGCCCCCAGCACATGAGAACCACACACCCAGCCAAGGCACTGGGCTGGAAGGGACCTCAAAGCTCCTCCAGTTGCAACCCCTGCCACGGGCAGGGACACCTTCCACTGGAGCAGCTTGCTCCAAGCCCCTGTGTCCAACCTGGCCTTGAACACTGCCAGGGATGGGGCAGCCACAGCTTCTCTGGGCACTCTGTGCCAGCGCCTCAGCACCCTCACAGGGAGGAATCTTTTCCTGATACCCAATCTAAACCTCCTGAGTTTCCTCAGGTGTGATTTACACCACAGGCAGTCACACCCCTGGCATTTCTCTCCTCTGCTCAGTGAGCTTCATACCCAGGGCCATCAAACACCAACAGAACCAGCGCTCAGCAGAGCAGGCACACCACTGCTTGCATCTGAGGCAGCCTGAGGGGACACAGGGTCAGCCCTCAGCAGGAATCACTGACCAGGGTTTCCTGGCCTTTGTCAGGCAGAAAATGACACCAGACATCCCAACCATCCTTCCCAGCCTCAGCCTTTACAGTAAGTCATCAGTTCTCATTACAGCCAGGGGCTCATTAGCAGAACCTGCAGCTCAGGTGCCTCCTCCTTACCCCAAGAGGACCAACAGCATCCTGCCCTTGCTCCCACTGTACCTCCCTAGGGATTTACAGGGGGTTTCACAAGCAGGGTTGTTTTTCCCAACCTGGTCCCATCTGCAGCACTGCCTTCTGTAAGTGGAGAGCATGTCGAAACAGACTGAGGGGCTGGAAGTCTGGGAACTCGGCAAGGGATTAGAATCAATTGTTGACATCTCCACACTGCTGTTGTGCAATCTAGAGCCCTGTCTGAAGAGCAGCTGTGCACTGGGGCCCCAACACAGCATAAACCAGAGTCTGAGAGGGGAAAAGTACATCATCATAAATACAGTTTTAACTGATCCACTGGGTTATCCTTAAAGGCCAGACCTGAATCCCTTATGGATGTAAGTGCTGAAGGCCACAAGCCATATAAACCATTCCAAATGATGGCACTCAGGGAAGCACTGCAGCCACCCAGCAGAGCCCCTTGCATGCAGGGCATGCAGTGACGGAGCAATAACTTGTCAAAAGAGATGCCAAAACCATCACTGCAGCTTTGTGGGGATCACACCACATCCCTGTGACCCAGGGAGGGGTTTTTGGAGCAGGCAGCAGGAGGGACCTAACAGTTAAACCGCTCTGGGGCACACCAGGGTTGGAGGCTGGAAAGGCTCCACACACCTGGACCTGCTGTGGTGAGCACAGAGGGAACCCAGGAAGATTTAACCAGAGTCAGTTAAGATGCAAGGGAAAGATAAGGCTGAAGAGACCACCAAAGGTGGTTCCTGCTAACCAAATGGTGACAGGCTCTTTGGGGGCATAATAAAGATGTGGCCTTTTGCAGACAGAGATATGATGAAATGAAGGCAAAGGCCAGGACTGAGAGAATGGGGGTATAAAGGCAAAGCAAACTCATGCCTTTTGTTATGGAACAACACAACCTCAGAAACTGCTGTCCACATCGACTTCCTCAAGGCAGCAAAGTGGAAGAGATGTCCTGCAGAGATGGCATGTACCTGCAGGGTCAGCTACCACAGAGCACCAGCAAGCACAGAGCTACGTGAAGGGCAAAGCTTCTGTGAATTACTCAGAGCACTTACTTCACAACAGAATTGTTATAAATAGGGGGAAAGCTGCCCAGAGAAAGCTTTGCTCAAACAGCAAAGATTGAGGGAGGGGATTCTCCCACTCTGCTGTGCTCTGGGGAGACCCCCCTGCAGCCCTGATCCAGCTCTGGGGCAGCAGCACAAGAGGGACGTGGAGCTGTTGGAGGGAGGCCAGAGGAGACCATGGAGATGCTGTGAGGGCTGGAGCAGCTCTGCTCTGGAGCCACGCTGAGAGAGCTGGGCTGGGGCAGCCTGGAGAAGAGAAGGCTCCTGAAGGGGAGACCTTAGAGCAGCTCCAGTGACTAAAGGGGCTGCAGGAAACCTGGAGAGGGGCTTGGGACAAGGGCCTGCAGGGACAGGCCAAGGGGAATGGCTTGAACCTGCCAGAGGGGAGACTGAGATGAGCTCTTGGGCAGAAAACCAGGCTGGGATTCTATGAACAGCTCTGCTGTGACTGAGGCTCTTCACCCGCTTCTCTGTTCTACTTCCTCTTATTGTTTCACATGAAGGACCCTGCAGAGCAATGGGCTCTATTTATAGCTGGGAGAAGGGGGGCTGCAGCTCCTCAGGAGAGGCTGCCCTGGGTGGCAGCGGTGGCTGTTGATGGCCTCCAGAGCAGAACTCGCTGGGTCAGAGCTGCCGTTAGGCACAGCCCTGTAACCGCTCTGTGTCTGGGGCTCATCCTGCCTGGCCTGACCCCCCTGTGAGCACCATTACCGCAGGGCAACCGGCAGTTATCTGCTCCTGCACAGCACCGGGACCTGCTCCCCACAGAGCACAGAGCTGGGCTGGGGCCTCCATTTCCAGGTGAGAAGACAGCGCTGAAGCAATGAGATGGGGTACCCAGAGCAGTGGGGTTACTGGTTTGGGGAGAGGGGGATGCTAACCTCCTGGGAACATAGAAGTCATCGCCTAGGGGTTACTCTGTCAAACTCTGTCTTGGATACTCAATAGGCTTTTGCTGCTCCTCCCTTTTGTTAGTGATCCACAAGCAGACAGGGCCTTCCTCCAGCATGTTCCTCCTCACCTGCCCCAGCCACGGGCAGTGTAGGACACTCACTCCCTGACTCTGACCAGGACCCTTTCACGCAACTGAGAAGTAAAGGAGCAAGAATGAACTTCACCACAGGCTGCATCTCTCATCAATCTTGGAAAGAGGCAATTAAGTCGTGTGCAATCAGCAGATTCAGGCTCCTTGGCCCTTACCAGTGTGCCAAGCAACCTCATTGGGAAAATTAATTCCTGTCACTTTGCTAATGGTCTTTTTCTGCCTGAGCAAAAGGAGAGCCATTAAAAACCCCTCAGCACACAGAGATGGGGATGTGTCTGGCGGGATAACCCAGTGATTAGTGCTACTGCCAGCACCATGCAATACATTAGTGTGTGTCCTGATGGAGCTGGATTGTAAACCTCCAAAATCCCCTGCCAGCATCAAACTGTGACATACCCCAGGCACCATCATGGACAGCAGAGCAATGCAGAACCAGCTAGGGAGACGCTCAGTGCCCGGCAACAGGGGCGAGGAGAGCATGGGAAATACGTATGTGCCACGTGCAGGGCTCAGATAACTCCATGCCCAACAAAGAAAAGCAGCTTTTCTTCAGAATGGTGCTTTTAACAGATGTTAAATGGCTTAAATGTTAGCTAAGGGAGGAAAAAAGGACTCTTTCTATGCTCTAAGAAAAAGCCACGTGTCCATCCCATCCGTGGAGTCACCTCTGAGCCAGAAGTAAGAGACTGTGCTGCAGATGGGCAGAACCAGGACTGACTATGGCTTAATAGGCAAGATTATACAGAGAAGATGGAGCAAAGAAAATCTGGATGGAGAGAAAGGAAGTTAAAAAAAAGGAAAACTTTCTAATCTCAGCTGCAGAAACGCTGCCTGCAAAGTGAGATAGAGCAGAGTGGGAATTAACTCCTCCAAAAGATAGAGTGAAAAGCCCAGCTCTTGGCTCGTTTGAAGCCAGCCTGATAAAAGACTTCAATTTCTTAAGGAGTTTATGGTGGAAATCATGGCTGCACTTGCAAAGAGAAGGACTCAAGGCAGCACTGGGAGCAAGACAGGAGCAGGCAGGGGGGACGGGGGATTACAGACCCTGTCATACATCCTGCATATGGAGCAGAACAGCAGAAAAGCCCCAGTCTCCCCTTCTTAAAGCCACGCAGCACGGATGAGACACCCCCACTGACTTCTGCAAGCAGAGCCTTCCCTCCTGGCTAGAGCTGGTCCCTGGGGAAAGCAGCGTTACTGGGATCTTACGTGCAGTTGGCGTGAAGGACATGGGCCGGGGGCCGCCGGGGTTCACGGGGGGCAGCGGTGGCATGTTGGGAGGAGAGGACCTGGACTGTATCTTCACTTCCACGGGCGATCCGGGCATCACTGGCACCCTCTTCTCACCGGCAACTGTACAAAGAGAAGGTGGTAACGCTTAGTGCCAGCCGGGGACAAGCGTTTCCCCGCCCAGCACACACAGCACCGTTGCAAGGGTGAGGAGAGGCAGGGGGAGGGCACACCAGGCTCCCATGCCGCTCTGCATGGCCCCGAGTCAGCACAGGGAAGGGGCAGAGTACGGCCCCAGGCTTGGGGACAGGCACTGGAGTGCGGCATGTGTCCAGAGGCGCTGCGGGCAGGCTCAGGATGCCTGTGTTCACCATCCCAGCCTCTTGACTGCATCTTCTCACTACGCATGCCTGAAGATGCTGCCACAAAGTCTTCCTTCCTGTTTGCTTTGCCCCCATTTAAGATCCCCCCAACACTCCCCATGCCCACATGCACCTCACCAGCACAGGGAACTGAGGTTTCACCTCCAGCCCTGCTCCCCAAGCAGCAAAACCATGCTCTGAAGCAGCCGCCGTGGCAAACAGCTCCCTGATGAGTTTGACAAGTTTGCTTTTAACCAAAAAGCTCAAAATCGAAGGCTCCTGCACGTCTTCTCCCTCACACCAGCGTGGTCCCTGGGCCAGCCTTCATCAGCCTCGCATGCACCCTGTGTCCATGCTGCTGGCTTGGAGATGGTCTCTCCAGAGGGATTGCAACCCCCTCTCAGAGCCATGAACAGTGTGGCCATACCCCTCTCTCCAGCAACTAAATCAGCCTCAAAAGGCGTTCTTGAAGGAATAGGTTGCTTGGAGCAAGCTGCTCTAGTGGAAGGTGTCCCTGCCTGTGGCAGTGGGGTGGAACTGGAGGAGCTCTGAGGTCCTTTCCAATCCAAACCACTCAGGGATCAGATGTGGTTCATGCTCTTCTCTGCAAGCTCAGCTGTAGGCAGGCCAAGGAGAGCACCACACCGCTTCCTGCCTGCTGCTGGCCCATTCCCACCAACACCACAACACACTGCCACCTGCCTCATTTGATCCTCTTCACCCCCTTCCTATGAAACCCTCCTCCCCAGGCATCTATGTCCAAGCTCATATTGCCATGTGTCGTGGTTTAAGCCCAGCCGGCAACCCAGAACCACGCAGCCGCTCGCTCAGTCCCCCCCATCTTCCTCCCACTGCTCCCGGAGGGATGGGAGGAGAATGGAAAGAATGTAACTCCCACAGGATGAGATAAGAACAGCCCAGTAACTAAGGTGTAACACAAACCACTGCTGCTACCACCAATAATAATAATGATAAGGGAAATAACAAGGGAAGAGAATACAACCGTTCACTACCCACCAACCAATACCCAGCCTGACCGAGCAGTGATCTCGCCCTTCTGGGTAACTGCCCTCAGTTCTACCTCCTGCGCATGACGTGCTGTGGTATGGAATACCCCTTTGGTCAGTTTGGGTCAGGTGTCCTGTCTCTGCTTCTTCCCGGCTTCCCCTCCTCCCTGGCACAGCATGAGGCTCAGAAAGTCCTTGGTCAGGGTAAACATTACTGAGCAGCAACTGAAACCATCGGTGTTATCGGTGTTGTTCCCAGGCTGAAAGTCAAAAACACAGCACTGCACCAGCTGCTAAGAAGGAGAAAAATGACTGCTACTGCTGAACCCAGGACACCATGCTATGGAGAGAAACAGAGCGTGAAACCCATCCTTAAGGTTTCTCCTCTTTCCTCCTAAAATGCTTCTAAGGCACATTAAGGAGTTAGAACTGATTTGGTTGATTTACAGGGATAAGGGGAAATCACATGGAATTTACAGCCCCAAAATAAAACCTGCTACTGCATGAAACACCAAACCCAAGGTCCACGAGAAGCCAACACCTTCTATTCCAAGCTCCCACCCTGACAGACAAGCAGCAAACAGGATTAGTAAATTTAAAAGCTTCCTGCAAGGACCTGGGGCATCTAAAACTGCAGATAAAAACCATCTCTCTGAAACTCCTCATTTTTAGCCTAAACACATCCATTTAATGAGAATCATGTGAGCAAACCAGACTGCAAACAAGGACCTGAGTCAGCCTCGAGTTGACCTGGGGCTAAAACAAGACTGTGAGGTGGTCCTTGGGGAGACACTGCCTCCCCAGTCTCCTTCTTCCACATTTCACTGCTCAGCAGTATTTACTGCCTCACCAGTGGCAACATTTCAGTGCTGCTCCAGAGGCTCAGAGAGGATGCTGAGATGCTCCTCAAAATGCCTGAGAGTCTCTCCACTGTATCAGTTACCCAAGATCATGCTGAAGAGTCAAATGCCATGATAGACTTTTGGATAATGCTCCAAGAAGAGTAATTCTTGTCAGTGACTGAATACTCCAAGTGTCAGAGCAGGACAGCTGCCTGAACTGGAAACATTGGGTTGTTTTCCTTCCAAGCCTTACCTGGAGTTGGAAACATCTCCAAATGTTGGGTTGTTGTTTTTCAAGCAATGCCTGTAAGACACAGAGTGAACCTGCTTATGGCACAACCTAAGTGTCAAACCTGCAGAGGCACGTGCTCAACTCTGCACCCAGGACCTGCCAGGGTTCACCAGGCAGAGAAGCAGGAGCCGGTGGGAGAGCTGCCTTCCCACCCCTGAACATGCTGGAGCTTCACATGGGAAGGTGATGCAACTGGAGTAAAACAAAACCCGACCACAGAGATGCTTCAGTCTTGGATAGAAGCAAGGATTTCATCTTCTCCCAAAGCCAATGAAGCCTGAAGACCAGGTTTCCCATTGATGGGAGTTACAGATTTCAGATGCTGCAAAGCTGCTCTCAGGGTGAGGGCAGCTGCAGGCATGTACCAGTTTACATTGTGTGCCCTATATATTTGTATGTCCCATTTAAGGAGCCCAGGTGTGCAAGAGCCTAGAAAGCCCCAAAGCTTTGAGTACACCCGAAACCCTTCTCCCCCGTGCTCTCCAGTGAAAGCGAAAGGCCCTGGTTTGACTTGACTCGCTGTGTTGACTGTTGATACGCACTGCATTTCCTTTGCTGCTCCAGTTCCCATCCTAGCATAACAAATTAAAGAGCAGCATATGTCAAGATGAAGTGCAGCTGATGATTCTGCTTTCTGGAGAGGAGAAAGAGCCAAGTGAGACAACAGCACAGCACAGCAGGAGAAAAACAGGGGTCTCCACCGGTCCTCAGAGAAGTCGCACTCCTGCTCTTCCCAGGAACTGTGGTTCTCCAACCACAGCAGTTTCAGAGGGGGCAGGTTCAACAAACAGCCACTTGAGACACATTTCATCCTATTTCTTTTCTTTAAAGAAATCCTTCTCCTGTGGTGGTTGGTACAAAGGGAGTGTTGCTGCGATAGGTAACCTCTGAGGAGCCGCTAGCATTTACTTGCATTGTAAACTGTATAAAGAAGGTGCTTCACTGATCTCTCCATGCCTGTGGGTTTGGGAAAAGGGGTAAAGGCACAAGAAAAGAGAATAGTGACAAGCTTGGGAGCATCTCGAGTACCTGGAATTTAAATTAGTCCTTAAATGCCTTTGGGAATTAGAGAACATCCCTGGCAGTGCTCAAGGCCAGGTTGGATGCAGGGGCTTGGAGCAAGCTGCTCTAGTGGAAGGTGTCCCTGCCTGTGGCATGGGTTGGAACTGGGTGAGCTTTAAGGTCCTTTCAACACAAACCATGCTGGGATTCTGTGATTCTATGAAATAAAAGCACTTCATGAGGCACATTGGATGTTACCTTCTCCCAGAAAGCAAGGTAAGGAAGAGAGCCAGGAATAGTCCCCAGGGCAGACACAAACTGTCTCCTCCCATCTGCTCCCTAACTTCAAAATATAGTTCCCACAGATGGCAGAATAACACCAGGATGGGAGATTTCCATTCAGTAACAAAAGACCCTGAACCTGCCTCACACCTTACTGGGGCCACAATTCCCAGGTTATGTCTCCCATATGCACGGTCACGTTTCAGAGAGGTGATGGGCAGTTACAAAGTGCACATGAATGCAGATAACTTCAATCCATTCTTGACACAGGTGGAGGATTCCCCATGGTTCACCCCTGTGAGGGTTAGGATGGAAGGAGGAACCTGCCTGGCCTGGGAGCAGTTTTATACATCCCATTTATGAAGCAGCTGCAGAGTCAGAACTGCTCCCACAAACCTGTTTGCCAGAGTCAAGCATCTGGCTTTCTATAGACATCAGAACATGAAACATATGGGAAGAAGTGAGAGGAAACCACACTGAACGTGAGACAGCACCGCACAACCAGCAGGTAAGCACAGGGGGGTTGCTCTTCCCTTCTGCAGTTTGTAGGACAAAGAGAGGAGACTCAAAAACCAGCCATGGACAACAAGGCTCTGACCCAAACTGAGAGTCTGCGAACCAACAGTTTTGGGTTGAGTTGATGTCTGTTGAACAGAAGACTGTGCACAAGGGCTGGCCCAGTGGTTCAGAGGCTCAGCATTGAAAGCAGGGAGCTGTTTCCTGCAGACAGAAGAGGTTTAATCAGAGCAGATGTTTTCGACTTCCATCTAGAACAGGCAGATTATGCTCATAACCTATAAAGACATTCCTCACCTCAGAAAGCGAAGAGCCCAACATTCCTACCTGCCTCTGCAGAGCAAGGGACTGGAGAATCATCCCAGTAGCAGCAGCCAAGGTTAAGTTTAGCAGAAGACATTCTGGGTCTGAGCCTGTTCTGGAGCCAGTGGACACAGACACTGCGCCAAAGGGATCCAGCCCATCCCAAAGCATTCATTAAAGCAAGGGAGATAAGCCACACTCCAGACATATCTCTCTTTCCACTGGCCCTCCCACCTCAGATGACACTGGGCCTAGAGGCATGAATTATAGATCCCCTACAAGTCAGGAAAATGAACCCTTCCCACAAACAGCCCATGGAACCAGAGACTTCCTCCCCCACCACTCACATGGGTAAGAGTCTCTGGTTCAAGGTAAAGCAACACAAAGCTTCTCTAAATAGAATCACAGAAGGGTTTGGGTTGGAAGAGACCTTAAGATCATGAAGTTCCAACCCCTGCCATGGGCAGGGACACCTCACACTACACCCTGACACCCAAGGCTCTGTCCAACCTGGCCT